AATTTCTGGCAATAAGATTTTTTTACCACTGCAAAGCCCCGCCCCTTTATTTAGTTGTAATGTGTCCTCTTGCATGACCCTAATGCTTGAAGTGTTTCCTCTCTTTAGTAAAACATTTAAACTCTGTTTATTTTCCGTGTGAGGCATACATGACGATGATATGTGTGCCTGTGTGCGTCTCTTTCACTCTCTATCCCCATCTCTCTCACTTTCTGTCTCGCTTCATCAACTTGCGAGAACTGTTCCGTTTAATTAAATTGCATTTAATTGAATTTAACTAAATAAACAAAATATGAGGAAAAATACATACAATATATATAAATGCTTGTATATATTTTCTTCAGCTACGGTTTTTGCATATTTGAATATGCATCAAACAATTTCCGTTTTGTTATTATAAAAATATAATCGTATTTTAATGGCAATACATATATAAAACACACACACTGAATGGATCCAGTGTGCGCCGCGTGCTGTTTTAATTGTTGATATTGAAAGCGCTTATTGGTGTGACTGTTTAATTAAATTTAACACAAACCAAAACCCGCACCCAAAAAATACAAATAACTATTAATGCCGCAACAAAAGACGAAATCTATTGACAATTGCCTTAATTCATTGCCAGACGAAATTGGCCCGGTTGTGTGTGCGGCAACACAATGCTTTTGCCCCAACAAGCCAATTCAATTATTTCTCAATAATTGTATAAGCCGATTAACGGGCTGCACGGCACTATCAAGTCGAGTGCATTAATTGCACCACAAGGTGTATGGATACCCCAGAATGTAGGCCATAGATTTGTGGGTTTTATTGTTTGATTTCGAAAAGAAAACCCAAAGAGCGGACCCAGTCGGATGGAATGAAGTGAAACAAAGCAAGGCTGTTTTTCAAAAGAGTCTCCTTTGATTTGTGGCATATCTGAAGCATACATATATCTGTTATATCTTGTTTATTCAATAAACTTAACAATGGCTTTATAAATACGTATTAATGTGACAGTGCAGAGGGTATGAGGAGAGGCGTTTCTTTGCTACTAATTGTAGGTTTTAAGTCCTCAATCTTGGCAAATATGGGAGGACATCCGAACGATATAAGAGAACATATACAGCAAGCCCTATCATATTTCTATACAATCGACAATAAACAATAAGATATAAACAAAATCATACTGCTCCAATAACATAAAGATGCCATTGGAACAATTGCTTAGAACTATCGTCAGATCTCTCCTTCGTTGAACAATATTCTCTATGATCCACACAGCCCTTGCTTAAAGTAAGCGGCTTACAGTTCTTCGTTTGGTTACAGTTCTCCTTGAAAGTATATTGGATGATGGTTTTTTTTCTTCCTCGGTATCCTTTCAAAACTTTCCAAACGACTTTTGTGTGTGGTTCTTCTGGGTCCTGCCCCTGCCCTCCGTTTTTCTATTTATTTTGTATATTGGCCAATTCATTTCCCTTTTGTTAAAAAACATTCAAACTGGAACATTTGGCTTGGCTTTGCTGTTGTGGCCAGAACAATTTCTTAAGCAATTTCTTCTGCCAGCAGCCAGCAGTGCGCCCGCCGCTCCCCCTTCTCTCTCTCTCTCCCTCTCGTTTTTAGTAGCCAAGCCAATTGTCTAAAATGTTATTTAATAGAAAAAGTGCTCAGTGCAGCACAAAAGTTAAAATACCTCACAAATAAATTGAACTGCATTCTGAACTGGGTGGATTATTGCAACGGGCTCTCCCCTTTGTTAGGGCCCAAAGACATTTGCCAAATGAATCTGCGTTGGGCTTCAAACTAGGATACAAATAAGAAGGAAAGAAGGTCTAGGCTATGCAACCGAAGATGTAGATACCCTCGAAGGTGAATAGAAGACGATATATATATATATATATATATGTATTTCCTTAAGTTTTTCTCAAAGAAAGAACAGACAAACTAGGACTGTATCGTCTCTTACTCGTAAGAGTCTTAAAAGTCATGGAAATCGAACATGTACGGCGTAGAACTCCCTGCCAAAGGAGATGAACTTTTGGAGCCCTGGAATAGAATAACAATTGTTGCAGGCCACAATTTATGGGGACAATGGGCTGCTTCAGTCTGCTTTTTGCTTATCAAGTGTTGTCCATGATTTATATTTTATAAATACAGTATAGAATGGGGGTATAGGTATGGTTACGTGGTATGGGGTATGGGGTATGGAGTGACTATGACCAGCAACTCTTTTTGGCCAAAAAACTTAAGACAAAACCTCCAACTAAGCAACAAACGTAGCAGGAACTTTCAACTTTTGCATCGACTTTTCGGCACGCCCAAAACAAACTTTCAACTGAAGACGGGCCGGCCCCCCCCCGGCCCCATTCCCCCGTGAAAATTGGGGAAAAGCAAAATATTGAACTTATTGGCTTTTATGTAGTTTTAGCTGGGTAAAAGTGTCTATCGAGGCGATGGCACGGACTGGGGAAGCTGGGGGGCCGGATCCGGGGGGCATGTTACTTTTGAGCTTACTTAGCATGTACTTTGTCAGGGGCTTAAGCTGCAACCAAATTGAATTTCCCGGGATCTCCTTGAGGCCAATCGGGGAAATCTTTCCCGCTGTCGCTGCTGCTGCTGCCACACTGATGCACATTCAAATCTTGCAACGAAATTTCTTAGTTTTTCCGAACAGGCGACACCCGAAAAATGGCAAAAGTTGCGCTGTTCAAAGTGCGTGCGGCATTGTCTAGCCCCGCTGCTATCCCTCCACCATCCTCTCCATCCACTGTCACCCCACCATCGTTCACGTTTCCACATGACTGGCGGCGTTCTAGCCCCCCTCCCCCCGCCCGAGCCGCCCCACAGCCTGATTGCAAAGCAACCGAAATTGAAGCGCACTCAAAAACTTTTTTCCTGCCTCAAAATCAAAAAGTTTCGCTTACAAAAGGGGAAGGGGGTAAGTCGTGGGTGAGTGAAAGTTGTAGGTGCAAGCTGAGGCTTTTGTTTAAGGAGCAGCAAAAAGTGCAAGTGCCCCAGCTGCTGCTGCTGCTGCTGCCTCTGCCACGGCACCTCCCACTGGCTGAGGTTGAGGTTACTCCTGTCATGCATGCCAAGTTTTCTTTTTATTCCGAAATGTTTGTGGGCGTCTTACCGCTTTTCTTTCATCTTTTGCTGCAGCAGCAGCAGCAGCACCAGCAGCATCAGCCTTCACCCTGATGCACAGCACTGCAGTACGCTCGCTCCTCCCCCCTTTGTTGCTGGCTGTTCATTTGGGCCTCGCCGCAAACGCAGCACGCACTTAACTTTGCCAGCCGCCACAATGCTGCGGTGAAACTCATTACGAGCTTAGAATGCAAAAACGAAACCCCAACAAACCAACAACAAACTCTGACGCTCTGGCGCTGCCCTTGCCTCCTCCTCAACCTCGCTCTCAAAAGCACACAGAGGCAGCTTACTCTCCTCCCTCTCTCCCGCTCTCTGTCTGTGTGTGCGAGTGTGGTGGGGGGCTGCTGTTTACCCAAGTTTTCTATAAATCTTAATGAAGGCAAAGAAGTCGAGTCGAGTCGAGGCTTGAGCTAATGATGTGTAAATTAAAACGCAAGCCACAATTTAATAAACAGAAACGAAAACGGAAGCGAAACGGGAACGGGAAGGGGAAGGGGGCACGGGCGGTAAGCAAACAATTTTAATTTGTCTCAAAGAACGAAATCAATTTCAATTTTGTTTGTTTATGAGCGAAAACTATTTCGATTTGATTTGCCATCGCAAAGAGAGAGAGAGAGTGAGAGAGAGAGAGACAGAGAGGTTGCTTTAACCCATTAAGAGCCAATGGGTATTTCACTATATAGCCATGAAAATGATGAAACTTGAAAACTTCCTGAAAGATATCGCAATAATTATCTTTTGTTGAATATAGAAAAAAGATGGATCTAAAAGGAAAACTTTCAAGATTGATAATTTTTCGGGGTTTACCCCCTGTGAAAATAGAGCGAACAATCGTTGGAGGATGTCCTTCATTAAAAAGCAAAGAATTAACAACTGGTTTAAGGAAAATAGTTTTTTTTTTTTTTTGGAGTAAGAATCCACCAATTTTTGCAATTTTTTTGGAAGTACATACAAAAGTCTTCCCTTTTTGTCAAAAAAAGAGTATTTTGGTATTTAAACTCCCATGCTATATCTCAGATATTCCCAGAGATAAAAGCATATCAAAATCGTGCAAAATTCTCTTACTTGTGCCTGATTACAGAATGAAAGAGAAAATCCTTTAACCGTCCCTTTAAAAGGCTCTCTTTGCTCCTATTTCTGTTGGATAAGAGCATACATACATTTGTATGTTTTTGTGTGCTCTCTCTTTAGTGCTGGCTTTGCTTATCTTTATTAGGAGCCCTAATTGAAGTGTTGTCCCATGCTAATGCTCTCTTAGTTACTGATTATGCTTACCCGATTGGTGTTCCCTTTTGGACCAGCCAGCCAGCCAGCCAGCCGGCCGGCCAGCCTTTGGCGGGGCTTGGCACAAAAGGAGACTGTGGCGCAACAAAGAAAGTGACCGGGAGAACAATGAGCACAGTACACAATGAGAGCCTGAGCTCCGGGTATCCACATCAATGGGCTCTGGTCCCTTAATATCGTGAATTTCAAGGCTTGCACAGGGAACGGGCTGGTTAACCTTGACTCACAGTGATTTAAATGCTGGTAGTACTAAAATTTTATCAAATATCGCGTTTTTGAAACACTAACAAGTGAAAACTCGTTCGGGGCACGTTAATTAAATATTACTCTGCATGAAACTCCACTAATATGCATGCATGCCACAGAAAGGACATTCCATGCAACAACAGCACGAAGAGCATGCAGGAATGAAGTAAAACTAATTAAAGAATATACCGAAAAACTAAAAACGAACACACACAAACGAATATCTTTCAAAAGAGAATGTCGCCGCCAAAAAAGAGAATGTTTTAAGACAAAGAATATGAAACGAAAAAGTTTTTAATAAAAAGCAATACGAAACATTTCTGCAGCAGCAGCAACATGAAAGTCAAAAGCAGCAGCCGCTGCCGCCACAACAGCAGCAGCAGCAGCAACGACAACTGCCACAAAGAGCGGCAACACTTCAGCAGCAGAGCAGCAAACGACGCAAGCAAGGCGGAGTAGGAGGTGGAGCTGGAGCTGGAGCCGGAACCGGTGGAAGCGGAAGCGGAACAGGAGGAGGTGCAGCAGGCCTGGGAGGAGCGAGCACAGGATCAGGCCCACCAACTGTGCGGCGACAAGTGTCTTGGGGTCCGCCAATCGTTGCCGAAACGGATGTAGATTTGGCCGCTGCCACAGCCAGTGGCACAGGCAGCAACAGCAACAGCAACAGCAATGGGAGTCGCAAAACGGGGGGCAAGCAGAATGGATACCATGGCGTCAATAGACGCGCGACAACTACCAGGAACTGACGAACCGCAGAGGGGGAGCGAATGCAAAAAAACATGCCAGAAAAGATGTATAAAAGCATAAATATTTAGGCGAATGGATGGCAAGACAACAAGGCAGAATAAATAAAGCACGGAGAGAGGGGGGAGCCAGGGGGGAGCTGAGCAGATGAGGAGATGAGGATGAACCGAAAAAACAAAAGCAATTTGTATAAATAAAAACAGACACAGACCCAGAACCAGAACCAGAGCCAGAAACAGAGACAGAAACCGAGACAAAGGCAAAACAAATAATACAAATTGCAAGCGAAAGAAGTCCTTGAAGTCTCATGTATAAAGAAAACTGTCTGGCAATTGACATGAATATTTCTAAAAAAAAAATCTACAAAAACTTAGCCAAACAAGCGAAATCAACTAAATGAAAACTTGAAAGTCAATAAATGTTGTCAAAAGTGGCTAAAAATTTAATTTAGAAAAGTAATTAAAGACTTTGAAAAGGATACTCTTGAAAGCAGTGAAAGACGAAACGATTGCTTACTGCGAATAAGTGATAGACAGACGAAACGCATTGAAGGGTCTCCATAAAGTTTCAAGAGCCTTAGGAATTCCATTAAAAATATAAAATTTAATACTAAAGCGAATTTTATTCATTCTTTTTTTTATTTTTAAGCTACTTTCCGCCGTGTTTAGTGGATAGATTTATTTGGAGCTAAAGTCAATTTAAAGCATTAATACTTTAAGATTTTCAAAACTCAATCAAAGTGCTAAAATGTTCTTTAAAGTAAGCTTGGTTGTTTGGTTCATGAACTAAAGTAATCTAAGGATAAAAATGGGTAACACTGAAGATAATAGCAATTATTGAGCTATTTAATTAGCCCCCGTTGTACTCGAAACTCAAAAACTGTAATTAAGATTTCTGATATATCTGATAGCTTAAGAGTTAAGTTCCGAAATTGCTTTCTGCATAATTTGTATTGTGAAAAACTGCAAGAGCAGAGTGAAAGCAAAGTTGCATCTATTAAGTTTTAAGAATTGCACAACTTTTCCCGCTTTCCTTTCCTTTCCCTTATATATTTTTTTTTGTTCGTTCTCTTGTAATTTTTCTCGCTGTGTGATATACGAAGGTAATAAAAGTAAAAGTTCTTTGGCAAGGAAGAGGCTGGAAGTGGGAGTGGGAGGGGGGGTGTCGTCTTAACTTGTTTCATATTAAATGATGAGAAATTACGCAAGACAACTCTTGCATACACACATCAATTCATTTAAATGCGTTTATTAAAAAAGTTTTGAACGAAAAATGCTGACAACGTGATGAATAACAAGGAAAAGATTGCCACCGCGGACATGACACGTTGGATACTCTTGCAGATTGATCGTTTCTATGGACTTGTCCAACGATCGACCTGAAGATCCACTGCTGTCTCGGCAGCATACAAATATTAATAACGCCTTCCGTTCAGCATTGCAAATCTCTGTGCATTTAAATTATACCCCAGGGCAGGGTATAGCCCGGATAGCCATCAGCCAGATTGACAACAGCCAGAAGATGAAAGAAAAGGGGGAGAAGCAGCAGGAGAATATGGCAAGAGTAAAGCACACATAATGGCACTTCAATATGCGAGTGTGTGGGGGAGAGCAGGACCGACCTAGTGTGGGGGAGAGCAGCATGAGCATGCCATGTGTGGAGGGTCTGGGTGTGGGTTGGGGACTAAGCAGGAGAGGCAACCAACAGCTTGTTAGTGGCTTTGCTGGTCAGTACTTTTAACTAATGTGTTTTGTGCGACCATAGAAAATCTCAAGTACTCACACAGACACACGCACACCACACACACACATGCAGCCATGGACACCGGGGCGCTCCTTAGCATTCGCTGCTCCTGGCCCTCTCAATTTTTAGGGTGCCAGCCAGACCGCAAAGTGTGCATGTGTGAGGGGTAAAGAGCAAAAAGGGGCAGCAGCAGCTCCTTCAGCTTGCCCCCGTTATGCTGCTGCTGTCTGCTGCCTGCATAAAATAACCGCATAAAATGTCGTTAAGTATAACGAAATTGAGTCTGCACATAAATTCAGATTATGAGATTAAAATGTTGTGATTTTCGCACATCGGAGCGGAGAGCGTATACCCGAAAAACCCTTTTCATAATGAAATCCAGTGTGGTAGGAGGGTCCGGTTATCCCTACTCACACACACACACACACACACACACACACACACACACACACACAAACACGTACGCACACATAGCGAAGCTTATTGAAAAATGCGATGGAATCAGCAATAGCCACAGAGAGAGAGCCAACAGAGCAGCCGGATAGCAGCAGTCAAGCCAATTTAATGAGTTTACAGCGCCCTTTTTGCCTTTAAGCGGAATTTTATGAAAAAAAAATACAACACAGTCGGTGGCACAGTGGAATGAAAGTGTGATAAGTTGATTGTTGAAAGCAGACAGCTATCCGTCCGTAGAAGCAGAGAAGCACTGTGAGTTCTTTCTTTAGATCTCTGAAGCAAGGCGAAACTGTATCACAGAGTTATTTCATAGCAAAGAAACCCATGCAGAGGACACAACTATGGATCCACATGACGCCTAACCACCGAATCACACACCACTGTGGCCCCGCTGTAGAATAATAAAGAAGTTGCGGTTGTATCCGGCGATCAAAGTCAAATATTTGGCTTGAATGTTTACAAATTTTGGGTCAGCTGGTAATTTGACCAAACTCATACCGAATTTTCATGTGAAATTCCCAAAATATGGTTGGACCCTCGAGGAATGCCATCAGCTGTCGCTTCATTATGACGCTAATTGTGAGGCCAGAGAGCGCGCACTGCCAAAAGGATTAACATCATAGAGGACGAGCAACGTGTCCATAGAACGTTGGCAAGAACAAACAGGACACCTTGTGCCTTGTGCTACCGACGGCGACGGTTGCATGACCCATAAACAGTTTAGTTTGACTTAATCCGGTTATGCATCCGGATTAGCGAAGCGCGACAGGGAGAGGGGTAATTTTTTGCGATTCGTTTGGCTGCTGCTCCCGGGACTTTACGACACTTTTTAGGTAATGAATGGGATTACAGTTTTTTTTTAATCCACTCTCCCAGTGGCTGGGTCCAGCTGTAAAAAATCTAATGACTCATAAAAAGTGCACCGCAGGTCAGCCGGCGATTGAATGACCTGCTCCGCGCCGCGTCGCCCCGCCCGGCCCCGCCCCGCACCGGTCATGAATGGGCGGCAGGTCAGAAAAAGTACCTCTCAATGCGTATAAATTCTGGTGTCGGCACTGACGTAACCAGCAAACGCACTCAAGCCATCCAGCAACCAAGATGTGTCTCGTACAGAAGAAAAACAGCGCACAGCCCGAGGCCCAGAAGCTGCCACAGAAGCAGGAGACGACGAGTCCGAGTCCGAGTCCGAGTCCGACGCCGCAGCCTCCATCCCCCACCGCCGCCTATGTGATGTTCAAGCACCGCGAGGAGCTGAGCCGACGCAATGGGCGGACGGCCCGCGCCTCCCTCACCAAGATTCATCTGACCACCGAACTGATAGCCCGCACCAAGCAGAACATTCGACAGTGCAGCTTCGAGGATCTGGCCATCCTGGCCAGGGAGACGATCTTCCGCAAGAGTCTGCAGCGTCGCCTGCACTACAGACGCATGGAAATGGGACTGAAGATCAAACAGAAACGCATGGCCCACAAGTGAGGGAAAAGTCTGATAAAGAACAGCCCAAGTGATAACCCAAGAGCCCCTATTATAATAAGATTGTACATTGTACATTTTGGCCATAGTTTAATTTAAGTTCAAGCTTCAAGCACATGTAGAAATATTTCCAAACACCTAAATTAAACTTCAATCATTTAGAAAAACCCCCATTTTCCGTATATTTTGCACATCTTATCCGCTTGGATCTTCCAGTGTGGCAATTTTCCATTTAAATATTTGATAACCTTCCCAACACACTGACAAAGCAGTTTTTGGGGGGGGTCCAGGTCCTGCACTTGTAATGGGTGTAAAAACAAATTTACACATGATTACCAGCCCAAGCTGCAGAACAGAACAGAACAGAACAGAACAGAACAGAACACTGCGAACATTTAATACAACTCAAACAGAATGGTGCGTTGCATAAATTTGAACAGGCTCTGGGTCTGGGCCCCCCTCCAACGCAGCTCCAGCTGCAGCTGCAGCTCCAGCGTCTGCTTCTGCTTCTGCTTCATCGTCGTTCGCTGTGGTGTAGAAAAATTTTTGCCTTTTTAGACTACATAAATTTTAATTAAATGTCACTCATACGCCATGTATGCCAAGCACAATGTACGTAACGTAGAGTTGTCGTCCCCGTGACTGGTAGTGAGTGTGTGTGCGTGCATTTGAGCGCTACAGAGCGAGAGTGTCGGAGCGAAGAGAGTGCCACAAATGAATGCACGGAGAAGTGGCGCACGAATTACAGTTTATTGAACAGCAAGGAGCAACGAGGGGAGTGAAAGCAAAGCGAAGTGGAGCATCTAAAGCGATGCATAAAAACAAAGGGGAGCATCGTGGAAAGTAAAGAGAACTCTTGATGGCAAAACCAAACTGCTGGCTGGCTGGCTGGCTGCCTGCCTGCCTGCTGTTTCCACTAGTCTGCTGTTGGGAATAATTCTGAAAAGCATCTATCTCCCATCTAAAAATATTTTAAAGTTTCCCGCGTGTCTCACTCTCTCAAGAACTGAGATCCTCTAGAAACTTCTGAACCCTTATTTGTGATCTTTTCTCTCTATTATAACCACTAGGAGACCACATCTTCGTTGCTGCAAAACGATGAATAAACCTAAAAACAAAATGCTGGAGACGAACACGAAGCCAATTGCCCTTCCGTTGGTTAGCAGCTTGCTCTAATTATTATTTTTTGCTTATTTTTCCAACTTTTTCTCCTCTTTCTCCATCATTTTGTTTGTTTCCCCAAAAGGGAATGGGATCGGGGATGGGAGACGGGGTGGACTTCAAATCTGTGGCGTTTCCTGGTTTTTCGTGCATTTTCATAAAACTTTCCCAGCATGCATTATTCATGTGCTCTCTACAGCAATTACTATGGTCCAGCAGGCAGGCAGGCAGGCAGTGGGGTGGTGGGGTGGTTGGGTGGTTGGGTGGTGGGTCCTTAATGAAAAACCATCATGGCCAAACAATATCTTTCGTTGCCATTTGCCACTTGAAACTTTTTCAATAATTTTTAACATGTATGCGTTTGCTCGCTCGTTCTTTCTTTCTTGACAAATTAACTCAAGAGCGCAATGAAGTGTTTATTGTGCCTGGCAAAAGTTTTTCCACGCTCTTTCTCCACTCAAGGCGTTGCCTGGGAAACACATACACACATACAGCCAAACACATGCACAAGGATACTCGTAGATTAACAATCGGCGCTAAACTACTAGCGACGCACATTTATTATTCAATTAAAATTGATTAAATTTGTGTTGGTTTCTTTATTTGTGGTTTATTTAGCATTCAAGCCACGTTCATCAAAACAATTTTGTGGAAAAATGAAATGTTGAAGGTATAGAATATAATTTAAATTATGCCCAAAATCAAATATTTAGAGTGGCGTGAATAGGAAGATAATTATCATGGAACAACCGGAAGGCTTTGTTTTAGTATGCATTATACGAAATATCAAAAATATTGTCACGAATTTTGATTTGAGAATGAAAACATTTAATTGTGCGGACAGCTCGAAAAGCCTCAACAAGAGAACCTCATTAGAGAAATAGACTACTTCCTATCCCATGCCCCAATGGGCTTAGGCTCCGCGCCACAAAATATAGTCGCAGGCACTCTCTTAAATCTCTTTATGGGGCTCCGCTTCAATGTACATAATAATAATAATAATAGCATTGTAAGAACTTAATGTCTTCTTCGTGTGTCCCCGAGTGTATTGTGTTGCCATGGCCATTGAGCGGAGCGAAGGCCAGGGAGCGTAATCGTCATGGTGGCTTACAGCAATTTGTTATTAATTTCCGCGTTGAAAAGTTGAAAAAAAAACAACAACAAAAAATGAAAGAAAGAAAGAAAACATCACCAGGAACAACAAAGTTTTTTGCTCTCTTTTGTTTGTCCGGTCCAGGCTCTCCCCCTTCGGCTGCTTCCATCTCGCTCTGTCTCGATGCCACTTGGCATTCATTTAATGCGAAAAGTTATTGTTGTTTTTGCTGTTGCCTGTTGCCTTTTGGTTGTTGGTTGTTGTTTGTGTTTGTCGTTTGTGTGTTGCCACATTAAAACATGGCCCATAATGGTTAACAAGGCATTTGCTTGTTGACCATCGGAGAGGGACCAAATGAGCATCAGAACTTGTGTGCTTACGATGTCCAACATGTGTAATAAATATATTCCACTGACGCTTGCTCTTGCGTGGCCCTGCCACAATGCGTGTCCTGTCTGTATTTCTGTATGGTGGTGGTGGTGGGGGGAGCAAAGAGTTGGGGAACAGATTTATTAAATGGGAGGTAAGGTAGTACTGCTCTTGGCCTCTGCTACAATACTCTGATTGCCTTACCTTCTGTTGAATATACCTCTCGTTGGGCTATTGGAGTCTGGGGTATGCGTGTGTTTGTGTTTGCCTGAAAGTTTTGTTTGTTTGGCAGGTAATAAATTGGAATATGCCTCTGCTTCTGCTCTCTCCACTCTCCCTCTCCCTCCCTCTCTCTCTCTCTCTCGCTCTCGCTGTGCGATCTGCACGATGACGCGGCCAAAGTATTACAATATTTGAAATGCACTGTGCCCCGCGCAGTATGCAATGAAAAATGTCAGAACAACAATGTTAATATGGCTGCCAGAGGACACGGCGGAGCACGGGGGGATTATAGAAGTGTGTCAGTGCGTTGTTGTTGCTGTTGTTGTTGCTGTTGTTTTTGTTGTTGGTGCTGCATGAAAGTGCAAGTTTTTGCTTATTGTTGGCAACGCTCTTCGGGTGCTGCTGCTCCTCCAGTAACCTTCAGCCAAGAACAATAAAATTGCACAGAAATGAAACTGAAATGGGTCTCTCACACAAATGGAAAACTATGAAAAGCAAAGGCAGCGGCACCAGCGTGGAAAAAATAACATTTTAAATGCGTTCTTTATACCCTCAACGTGGCAGAGGGTTGCTCTGTTTTCCTGTCCATGGAGGCGTTGAATATCTATTTGTTTGCGGAAGATCTTGTCTTGTCCTTCTTGTCTCCCCGTATCTTAGGATATGCCACTAGTCGGTAGTTCCCCTGCAGCGTCTGTGTGCAGCGTCTTTGGCTGGGAAATATGTAAATGCGTTGGCTGTCGCCCTGGCCAACACATTTGCACTTGACTGAAACGCGTTAGCCGCTTTCCTTGTAGTGGATTTTCGGGGCCTGCCATCCTGCAGCTGTCTTGAGCTCCAAAGGGGGTGTTAGAGTGAGTGCGACAGGGGGGGTGGGGATGTGTGGGCTGTGAAGTGACTGGCGGGTTTCATGTAACCAAGACACCATCTAGCAGCAGCGACTGATGTGGCGCCATTGTTGGGGCAGGTTTAGAGTGCAGCCAAATGGATGCTGAACCAGCTGTAGAATGCAGCACACACACACACACACACACACACACACACACACACACACACGTGCACAATTTTCCTGGCATTTATATTAACAACATAAAGTGCCGAATCACGACAGGTGCCAAAATCCAGAAGCATCAACTATTTTCGCTATTTTCCACCAGCAGCAGCTTGAGCACCCAAACCTCCACCACCCCGCCTCGCAGCCTTTTTGGAAAGCTTTGAATAATTATAAAACTTTATCTCTTCTTTGGACACACACCCACAATCACATCTACGATGTCCTCCGTTTCCGTTTCCATGTCCATGTCCATTGAACGTCACTTTGACTAAAGCCAAATAGAATTAAACCCTGAAAAATATTTGATCTAACCTCTCCCTTCGTCAACCCGCCTACCCTATCAACGAAACCCCAACCCGCCCGCATTTGTATCTGTCCCACCACCACGCCCCGTCGTGACCATTTTCATGCCCAATCTCTCGCAGTCAGCGCAGGCGAAGCAGCAAGGCCAAGAGGATGAGAAGCAGCATGAAGACCCGCAAGAAGAGCATCAGCATGGAGAGGAGCAGCATCAGGAGCAGCCGCCGCAACGAGGAAAATCCCGCCACAAAGCACCCGACGACACAGGGCATCCCTTTGATGTCGGCGCCGCAAATGCCAATGCGACAACACAGTCCATAGGGTCCACAGCGCCCCCAGCTACAGCACAAGCACCAACACCAACACCAGCACCAGCAGCAGCACCAGCACCAGCCCCAGTACCAGTACTAGCCCCACCGCCACGCCATCGTTCGAAAGCGGCGGCTTTGGGTGCCCCGTCGTTGCCGCTGCTCTATCTGGTGGGTGGGGCGCTGCAGCAGCGACAGTTCGCGAATCCAATTAGTTACTTGGGTGGACCGCGACTGCAGCCGCGCAGTAATCGCAACAGCATCGACTCGATATTATCGCTGGATTAACGCCACCCCACGGCGGACCCTGCTAGTCCGGAACCAAGCTAGTCGCACACCTTCGTCAATGGGGCAAGTGCATCCTCGTTCATGGTGCTGGTTGCCTGGCAACAAACTTAAGTTGCAGCAGGATTAGCCTTTTTTTCTTTTTTTTTTTTACATGGACGCTGATATGCGTACCATTTGAAGTGTGAACTCTAGTACTAGTTAGTTAGTTTACCAATTTTTTAGTTAGCGAATGTTGATCGAATTGTTGCTAAAAATTAAAGGAATTGTTATTGATAATAATTATTGATTTGGCTATTGCTAATTTCAGAGTGGGAATAAAGCCAAAAGAATGATTTGATTCACGTAAGTATGTAATAAAGTTTTTCGAAATAAGGCAATGCGCGCGGGAACGCTGTGAGGCGCGGCAAGGGCCGCAGATCTACTTTTATAGCCGATACTCAGTCAGGATATACATATACACATAGTATATGTGAGCTTATGATTTTGTATTAGCTAAACCATATATTTTATACGTAATTATATGTAAAGGCTATAACTGACTAGCTGTAAAAATAGAGACAGCTCTATGGGAAAAGCATGCAGTGAGAAAGAGAGGTATATGTAAAGTGAAGTTATCGATGGTTACAATTGTCAGATCCAAACGTATTGTAGCCGCTGCTAACGGATTTGTTCCATCTGGGTATACAAATAATCCCATCTGATCCAATCTGATCTGGAAATCTGGTAGATATTGCCATTCTTAAAAATTGTGAAGGACGGACAGTCATGTATGTACAAAGCGACATCAACTCGGCTATTGATGGTGATCAATAATACTTTATGGAGTCGGAAACGCTTCCTTCTGGGTGTTAACCACATCCACCACAAAAGTAATATCTCCCTACACTCTTCGAGTACCGGGTATAAAGAATCAATACTATAGAAAGTTAATTTATTTATTGTATACAATTATTTCTTTTTTAAAAATCGCAATCAAAAATCTCTTCAAAGAGCCGCAAAACTGGAAAATATTTACTTGATAATAAAAACAACGAATTTCTGAAATCTATGTATATTTTAGTTCTTTACCTAGATCGAGATATGGTACACAAAAGTTATCAATCAGGGAGCTACTGACTACTACACGACTGAATCGATAGACCCAGGGTGTTGTCAAAAAAAAAAAATCTTATATTTGAGAGAGAATTTTGCGATGCTGTACCATTGAAAAGCTGACAAATATTGTCAGATCAGCAAATTGTATATCTCCGTGTAGACTCAGGCCATCGATCGAAAAGATTCCTCCTCCTCCTCACGTAACCTTTTTGCAACACTCCAAATTCAGCCCCACAATTTTGAATCAGCCCAACACAGTTTTGTTTCTTATAGCTATATTTAAACATTAATGAAAAGTATACACGTATACGGTAGAACTTATTTATAAATATTTATTGAATTACCCGAGTGCGCTTAGTCGGTAAATATTTTGTGCTTATTTTATGTTTTGCTTATATAATTTGATCCACGAAGAAGCTGAATCGATTTCCTTACAATAAATTGTATCTTAGCCTACGATGAGAGCGGGAGAGCCCTCTAGGGTCCGCGACTGCCACCCGATGGCAGGACAGGAGTGGACCAGGACAATGCAATGGGCGCAATGCAGGGGACACGACATGCTTCGTACTTAGATTGACGTTAAGCAGATAATCAGTTAATCAGTGATGAGAGGGGTGAAGTGGAGTGGGGTCACAGAGTAGTATCAGACGATAAATGGGTACAGCTAGGGGGAGGACTGGGAGGACAGACGGTGCTAGGTGAAGTCCGGCGGCTTGTACTTCGGCGGTCGCTTAATTGGCTTCTATAACCAATTGCGGCCGCCACGTCATATGTTGTTCTCCTTGGCGGCCTTGGCCCCCGAACCGGAGCCGGAACCCGATCCTGAGCCGCCCCCAGTCGTTGCCCCGCTGGCTGGCGCACTCGAATCGTTATCGCTCTTGTTGTTGCTGCTGCTGTTGTTGTTACTGTTGCTGTTGGCATTGGATGCCGTCGATTCTTCGCCATCAGCGCCGTCTACTGCAAAAGATACAAAGGATATAAGTTTGATTGAACTACTACTGGGTGACTTTGTGCCCCACTCACCCTTCTCCTTCTCATCCTTAATCTCGCTGGACGCTTCTGAGGATGCCTTGTTGCTGTTGTTATCCTTGTCGAGTCGCGGACGCTTGCGCTGTCCCTTGTATGCGCGGTTGTCCCGCCGTCCGCCCTCGCCCTCATCCTCCGAGTCCGAGTACTCGTTCTCGGGCACAATGCGCTTATCCTTGTCGCTCTGCGGCAGGCGATCATCCTTATCCACCTTGTCCTCATCGTCGGATTCATCGTTGATCGCGTCCTCGGGTATGGCCTGGATCTGGACGCCCGGTGCGTGTGGCAGCATGCGCAGGTTCTCGAAAAGCCTGTTCTTGATCTTCTCCAGATACTCGGACGTGTTCTGGTTAGTCATGTTGCTGGGGCTGATGTGCAGTTTGAAGTCGGGCCCAAAGTACTCGAAGTAGTCGTTGTAGGGCAGTTCGTTGGCAATGTCCACGGCCAGCGCCACGGACGTCTCGTACGTCCAACACCGGGAGACGTTGCGGATGGTGTAGCCACCGCCGCCGACCATCAGGAAGGGTAGGTTGTACTTCTTTACGAAATCGACGCACTTACCGTGCCCCTTCACCGTCAGGTTAAAGCAGCCGAGCCGGTCGCCGGTAAGGGAGTCCGCGCCGCATTGCAGGACCACCGCCGCCGGCTGGAATGTCTCCATTACCTTCGAAATTATGGGCACGAAGATGCTCTCGTACGCGTCATCGTCCATGCCATCGCGCAGGGGGATATTGACGGCATAGTACTTGCCCTTGCCGGCGCCAATGTCGCGCAGGTCGCCAGTGCCCGGGAAGTACTCGCCGTACTTGTGGAAGCTGACGGTCATCACGCGGTCCGTGGTGTAAAAGGCCTCCTCGACACCATCGCCGTGGTGCACATCGATGTCGATGTAGAGAACACGCTGGTGGTACTTTAGCAGCTCCAAGATGCCCAGAACAATATCATTCACATAGCAGAATCCAGAGGCTTCCGATTTTTTCGCATGATGCAGACCGCCGCCCCAGTTGATGCAGATCTCGGAGGCCTGTTTGTTCAGCTTGACGGCTGCGGCCACGGAGCCACCCGCCGACAGCTGACAGAACTCGTAGAGACCGTCGAACACGGGGCAATCTTCGCCTACATTGAAGCGCTGCATCTGCTTGTTATATTCGGTCATGTTGTCCGGCCTGATGGATCGCAGGAATCGGACGTACTCGTCCGAATGGAACTTGGTCATCTCATCGGCAGTGGCTTTGTGCGGTCGCTACGGGCGTTGTCACATTATTAAATCTCTGTCTAATTAGCGGCTATAAATTTGTAGACTTACGTAAATCTCCATTTTCCGGTATAGACCGTAGTTCAGGAGCAGATTGTGGGTCATGCGTATGCGGTGGGGCTTCATGGGGTGCCCCTGGCCATAGTAGTAGTTGCCAATGTCACCTGGAGAGCAGAAATATCAAGGGTTAGATTGGCGAAAAAATTAGCAATTGCCACGCTATGCAGAAAATAAATTTTACCGCCACGGTCGTTGAAGCGTCCATGCGCAGAGCGCACTTTTCGACAACAACCCTTCAGAGTACACTTTCGCCGAACAAAGCAGACATACAGGTACATACGCGCACACTTAAGCATACACACACACCACCAAAATCCGCTCTGCGGTTGTCACTGAAAAGTGAGCTCTGACGAAACGCGCTTGTACAGTCCCCGTAAAACTAGAAATTCGCAAAATGCTATCATCCGCCGCCGAATGGACCCGAAAAAAATTTGTCTCCGGCTCCGAAAAACACTGCGGGGGCCGGTAATCATAAATATCTGCTGTAAAGCGTACAATTTTTAGTTATTTTATGCAAAAACTTACTGTCGTAGTAGTAGCAGACGCGTTTCTTGCTGTGAGATTGCATCTTTAGGATGCGGATTCTCTGGTGCGGTGCTGGAGAGTTCCTCGGTTTTGAAGCGGTACGGGTTAAAACTTGGTTTAGCCCAAATGCGGTTTAATATGTGACGGAACGATCGCCTCGCCCGCTTTTGTCGGCGCCTTTATTTAAAATGTATCTTTTTTGCAAAAAAAAAGACTCGCGCGCACCGCACTGTAGGACGGTGATGGACAGCGGCCTTATCGATAAGGTATACGGTCCGACCCTCAGAAATATACCGAAATATACCGTCTCATTTTAAAAATATACCGTAAATATACTGACGAATTCAACTTCTATTTTACATATTCCGCCGAATATTACTAGCTAGATAGATCTCAAAGCCCTGAAAACATAATTTTACCCGATTGATGAATATATATTGTACATGTGGGGTTAACTTTAGATACTCCATTTGTTAGAATTTTTATAAAATAAGGTTTAAACAAAAAAGACAAGCACTAAATGCGGGCATAAGGCGGAATTTTTGTTGCTGATCAACAAGTTTCAGCCATGAGTATGGACATTTGTATACCCTAACGGTAAATTCGGTTTTACAAGATAGTTTGAAACGTAATTAACATTGACTTTTTCTCAGTTTGTCATGTTTTTTACCTATTCATACAATTGATTTGTTTTTTGTAAATCTAGATAGCAATACCTATTGGTCTCCTTAAGCTGCACCTCCAGATAGCTTTAAAACAGAGGCTGACTTGGTTCTGCATTCATTAGAGCGTGGAATGACAAACATTTCGTCAACTCTATAATATCCATTTCGCAAGGGTATCAGAATGTTGCGGCCTATGCAAATGGAATGTTGACAACGGTAAAAATGCTTACAAGTTTGTGAATGTTGCCAAAGTGTGTGCGGTAAAATGTATTTTTAGGCTCGATACGATTTATCGCATATAATATAAAAGCGCGCGGTATTTTAATTAAACTGAACGAGAGTAAAGAAAAAATACAGAAAAATAGTGTCATTAATGCCAAAGTAAAATAAAAAAAAATAATAATAATAACCCAGAAAGCAAGTGCAAGCAAGCTATGTGCTGTTTTTCTTCCGCGAACTGTCGATGGTGTTCGCGATGTCGATGGATCGCCAATTTTCATTTGGTTTCTTGTCTACAGAGGCCATAAGTCCGATTGTGAAACGCGGGTCGGATTCTTCGATGAGGACGAAATGCTGGCGACCTTTGAAATCTCAGTAGCTGCCGGTGGAGAGTAAGGCAGTGCCCATATCCTGGATACCTGCAGTAATGCCTCCTGGGAGAGGAACTGAAAACAAAATTATTATTATTATATAGCCCTTCCAGCTCCGTTAACTGCGGATGACATATTTAAGCGAGTTTATATATCGATATTTAGAAGTGCGATAACTCAATATTATTTTCATCAATTTTTTTTGCGCGGTTCAAGAAATATGAAAATATGGCAATGCTGTGGTCCGCTTCTGGGGCGTGTTAGGCGACGAGGTGGTGCCAACATGATAACAGATTACTTTTGATACATTCAAATACCCATTTAAATTAGATAACATAAAATTGGTAAAGGTGTTGGACCATTATAGCCTTTTTTAATACCCGTCTAGGAAAAACTGCTTTAAAAATTTCTATGTCAATAAATAACATTTGTTTAGAATCAGATTGGAGAACAGGATTTTAGCTTTATGTGGATAAAAGAGGGTAGAAAAACGGCGAAACACGGAATTGATCAATTTAATCAATGAATTAAATTTAATTTTTAATGGTATATTAAAAAAAAAAGTTCATAGAAAGTTCCATACGCATCATAATGTATTGCATTAAAATCCTTGTCGATCATTCTTTAAAAACAATTTCTATTTGGCGCTTAAATTTTGATGGGACTTGCTCTCTATTTTTTGGGACTTGTTCTTTATTTTGTGATGGGATATTCTCTCTTCGTGGAGGGTCTTTTCCTCGCCACAATGCCACATGATGACCTCTTTTGTTTGAACCTTGTTTTAGACACAATACAATAACAGCAAGTATTTGAAATAAGCCAAAAAAAATATAGAATTGATTCATTTATCGGATACAAATACGTTGGCAGGGCTGAGGGTTCTATTTAGCTAGTAATGTTCGACGGAATATCAAAAACGAGGAATATTGTTTCCAATCCTTGACTGAGAGCGATTAGCCCGTTGTTGACAAAGGGGGTATGATGTTGATACTGCTCCGAAAATAATGAAAATGTTACCACTTTAGCGCTGTTCAGGTTAAACATATTGTGGTTTTCTTTTAAGTTCAAAGGACAGATGACATGGATCTTCAAGAAGAATTTACAATCACTAATATTTTCTGATATTTACCTCAAGTCGTTGAATTGTTTAAATATAGGGGGCTTAAATGGACTGAGTTCGTATTTTCTGAGGGTCTTGCCACCATGTCTAGCTCACACACCTTGGAAATTGTATACTTTTCATAGTATTTTCTAGTATTTTCCATTAAATTGTAAGTCAATACCGCGACTCACCCTCTTGTCGAATGCACCAATGTAGAAACCCTGTACATTTAGATCCATGTCCCAGGCCACATCGAGTACATATCAGTGATCAATATCGAATTCCTGATCGTTTGCCATTCAAATCTAAATTTGTTCAAAAATGTCCGAAAAAGGCATTTAAAAAGTGGATAACGGAGGTTATTCACACTGGCGCTTCCATGGGGCTTACATGAAATAAAATCGGCCAAGCTTGTCAACAAACTTACACATTTTCCCCTCAGGTGGCGCTTTCGGTATTTACATGGAAATGTAGATATTATGTAGCAATTGTGTCGTTAGCGTGTAGTTACCATGTCAAGACATGAATTAAGTGGAAATTGTTCTTGACTGTTTTCGCATAAATCTTAAAATATAAGCAATGCAAAAAAGATATAAGCTCAAATAAAAACAGTCTTGTACGAAATTGATTTAATAATTGGATTCACCTATAAGTTCAGATAAGAGGGTCTTAGCTATCCAGTAATAACCAACCGAATATCAAAAACGTGGAATATGATGGAACTTGAAAACAGATAGCTCGTCAGTATATTTAAGGTATATTTTTGAATTTGTGACGTACATGCGGTATATTTGTGAGGGTCAGACGGTATATCTTATCGTTAAGTCCGCGGTCACACTGCACTGATTCCGTCTTTCGGATCGTCGTATGGTTCACTATTGAATAGTTCTATTTTCGTTCGTTCATGAACGGACGAAACAACGGAATCCAACTCAGTTGGCGGTTGGCGCTTTTAACCGAATTTTCCGAGATTATCCAAAGGCGTGGGTGGCTTTTTGTGGTCCTTTTTTTTTGTGATTTCCTGGTCGGATAAAAACAAAGATACCAAGTGCAAAATAGTTAAATGAAAACGCTGTGAAAATTGCAATTTAATAGACGGAGTGAGACGCGTAAGTTTCCAACTGTGTTTCGTGTGCGTGTGTGTGTGTGTGTATGAAAAAGAGAAAGAAGTTTCCAAGCGGCAGCGGAGTTGCAGTGGAAACACAAACAGCAACACTCACTCACACATGCACACTCACACTTGAAAACGAGCTAAAGAAGAATTGGAAAATGGAAATGAAGTGACAAAGCGGAGTAACAAAAAGAAAAGAACGCGGCTCCGTTGATGAAAATTAATTAAAATAAATCAGAATTAAAAGACGGCATTAACAGAGTCGGGAAATATCCTGCGCGCAGCTCTCTCCCTCTCTCACTCCTCTCTTCTATCAATCTTTATTTTATGTTCTCTCTCATTCCCCCCGCGCGATAGACCAACGCCTCGCCCAGCAACTTCTGTTACTTCTTTTGCTCCATCGCGAAGAAATTCTTCGTTTTTTTTTTGTTGTTTTGTGAATTTCCTTGTGCCGACGATTCCTTGTCCCACTCCATTTATTCATTCTGTTCTTGTTGTTGTCGTGCTTTCCCCTCCCTTTCTTCAGTCCTTTTTTTGTGAATTTCCTACCCGCTGCGCCCGCAGGATATATCTCCTGTTCATTTTTTGGTGTTCCCTCCCCCCACTCGTACGTGTTTAATTATAGTTTCGCTGCGCCGTTCTCTCGCTTTACTACTCTCCCGCATTCATACATATCTCTTCCAATTAGCGGCCCGTGTGCCTCGAATTTCGGTGCAAAGCAGAACTTCAATACGGTCTGTGTGTGAGAGAGAGAGAGAGGGAGAGAAAACTCTATTTGATTTAGTTTGATCATAGTTGTATTTGTTGCTTTTAGTCCCCCTAACGACCGTGAAAATAAGCAACAACATAAAGCTGAAAGCAGAATCAGCATCAACAGAGCGACGCGTCGACGGCGACTGCGACTGCGTTTATGGCCGTAACTGTAAATACTCGCGGAGTTTTGCGGCTAAGCCGTTGCTGCTTTTAATAGTTGCTGCCAGCAGCAGTAAAACGCCCGAAGATTGCCATTTTGATTTATTCTAATTAAAAGAAAAAGAAAGAAAAAAAAGGTAAGTGTGAGCACTTTTTTTTGCTGTTGTTTTTCTCTTTCGGTCACGAAACTGGTTTTAGCTCCTTTTCATTCGCACCTCCTTAGTGGCATTATGCTGTGCCTCCTGCTCTTTCGTTTAGTTTGCCTGCATTACAAAGTACCGTTAAAGAGCCAATGAACGCATCAAAAAAGCAAATAAGTAAACAACATGGCAGGCAGAGCTAATACAACAACAAGTAGAAAGGACGGCAATATTCGGGTCCCGAATTGATTGATACCCTTGCAGATCAAGCAATTCGATGTTGATTAAATTTGGTAGTAATCGGTTTGGTTTAGAGACAACACGGGCACGTGAACTGATACTAAATGCTTAGATGATCTCTGCCTTGCAAACATCTGGTGTATTATATTAGTACCCACATCAAGGGTATAAAGAGATCGAGCCTGTCAAAGAGGAAGAGAGAGAGAGAGAAAGAGATCTGCTCTCCCGCTGCAGTTTCTATTTACGCTGCGCTTCTGGCTGCTGGCTGCTCGCTGCAGTCTGAGGCTCTGCTCTGCTCTGCTGATAAAAGCAAATCCATTTTTATTGCTCGGCTGCTGCGCGGTCGCCACAGGCTGCTGTAAAAGTCAAAGAGCATTTTGTTATTGGGATTGCTGCTTTTGTAATTGTCTGTAATTTAGTCTTCGAGCAGGAGAGGGAGGCTGTTCTACAGTCAGCCAGCAGAAGCAGCAGCAGCTGGCATCAGCGTCGGCGTCGGCGCAGCAGCTGCTGCTCTCTTTCTCACTCTCTCTTCATTGCCTGCCTGCCTGCCTGCCTGCCGCCGGCTCGCTATTTTCGGCATTTTTGTGTCGGCTGCTGCTCCGCCGCCCCGCACTCCAACCCACGCCGCATGTATTTATTTACCTTTTGGTGTCTTGTTTATTATTCCCTCCCCCGCCCCGTTGTCAAGTTCTCTCTTAATCCCCGTTGTGCTTTGAAGTTCAAGCCACAATTTTGTTTGGATTTTTCAGCTATTTTTGTAGCCTTTCTGCGCTCCACTGAAGCTTGCCCTGCCCTGCCCTGCCCTGCCCTGCCCTGCCGCTGGGAGGGAGGCTGGGAGTTGCTCCCAGTTCTTCTTTTCTATGTTTCCCTCTGTGGCTAGCCGCTGACGCTGATAAAGCCCGCAAATAGTTTGCCTTCGTTTTTCATACCCTTTCAGAGTTTATTCTCTTGCTTCCTCGTAACCCCCCTGATGCTGTGAAATGGGAGGCAATTATGCTTTTTGGCCTCCGCCCTCCTCTTGCTCTTTGACTCCACTCTCGCTCCTCCTCTGTCTCTGGTAATCATTGAAAAATGGCAATCGTAAATGCTTGAAACGAGTAAATCTGCTCAACTCGACCAACGGCTTGTTGGGATCTTTTCATTTCTCTATTTCGCTTGCTGTGTTTCTCTTCTGTTTTTTTTTTGCACACAAAGCGTTTTCAAAGGCAATCAAAAGCAGGAGAGGCGGGGGTGAGAGGAGTAGCCAAACAACAACTGTAAAAGTAGTCAAAGCACAAGTGGAAAGGAGGGGCGGCAGCGGCAGTGGAAGAAGCACAAGTAGAAAATTCAATTGTTCGCAGCTCTCTTTTGCTCCTCCTTTGTGCTCGCTGTGTGCAGTGTGTGGAAGTGCAGTGGTGTGCGTGTGTCGTCCACTTAGCGCGCAAACAATGCGCGTTTTATTGATAACGAAAAACGAAGAAACGGAAAGAAAGACGAGAAACAAAAAAAAACTGAAAGTGCGTGGCAAGTGGAAAATGCAGATAGTGGTGGGAGTAGGTAGCAGCGAGCGGGAGAGCGTGGGTCTAGAGGTGGTAGTGTGTGTGTGTGTTTGTGTGAGATATATTTTGGGTGGGGTGTGCCCGGGCGATCCTTCGTCGTCCTGCACGATGCTGGGCAATGTTTGTTCCATTGCGTTCCCATTCCCACTATCAAACTGTTGTTCCAGCCGTTCCAAGCGGTACCAGCCGCTCCAAGCAGTTCCAGCTGTTTCCTAATAATTTGCTGCAGTCGTGTCTGATATCAGATCGGCTGTTTTTTTTGCCATAGACTGCCACACCTAGCTGCAGCAGTAGAGGTATTACAAATGGCAGCAGACCGGCAGAGTGAGTAGAACAGGGAAAATAAGTGGAAAAATAACCACTGCAGCGTGTAGCTCTGATTTAAAAGCATGTCCTTTGCCTCCTTGGATGCCTAGAAATTGTCAGGCATTTGATGAACTTATTTTCTATTTGTTTGCCCCGTTATAATGTCTCCATTGACATAGTTCTCTAATGCCAAATGGAATGGACATCAATCTGCTTAATGGATGCAGTCGCAGCTCTCCGGCCCTCTGACCCAGGCTGCTGCTCTGCAGTTGACCTCAGACTCAGGTCCATTGTCTCTCCCTCTCTCTCTCTCTATCTCTCTCTCTCTCCCTCTCGTTTAAAGTTGCAAGTTTTTTTATGCCAATTTAAAAGTTTCCTCTTCGAGATACCCTTACAGAAGGTATTTGGTATTAGATCACAAAAGAGCTCCTCACTCCTTCTCTCTCTTTAGTCCCTTGTTCTCCCCTTGACCATCCTCCTCCATATACTTTCCAAAATCGTATTATCATAGTAGTTTTCTTAGTTCTAAATGCTTTCAATCTTTTCAACCAAATCGAACCCAAATCAAATCCTAGTTCTAGCCTTTGATCCCAAAGAATCGCATAGAATCCACAGGAGTTGGATGGTTTCTTGGCCTGCTATGCTCTCCGTTCACCTGGAAGTGTATGTGATATTCGTTTAGCTCTTCTTTCTTGTTTTTGTGTCGTGGGGAAAATGTTGCATTTCATTCCTGTACATCCGCTGTACAGGTGACTGACTGGCGGTTGCTGGAGTCCAGCTGTGGAGCAAAAGTTTATTTGCCGCTGCAGGGCGCAACATTGCATTTTGCAATTGTTTTTATTCGGTCACTTTTTATGGGTATCCACTGTTCTACCTGTGGGCGAGGGGGTGGCTGCTGCCTGCTGCTTGCTGCCTGCGGTGGGGAAAAAGTTCTAATTTATGTCGTCAAGTTTTACGCCTGGAAAGAAGAAAAGTTTGTAGTCAGTTTTAATGGTCAAGCGGTGTTGGCAAGAGAAGCGGGGGGTAAATGGAAATGAAAACGGACACGGACACGGGCCTGGGCACGGACACGAGGATGAGGATGTTGCTCTATGACCGGCTAACCCAAAAGCCCCACACTGGACACGACTCGGTTGGTGGGACGGGGTCAGGCGGCATGCCGGGGGCCAATTAGATTTATGGCATTAGCACAGGTCGTTGGCTATAAAGCACTCGAACGCTTACGGCGGGAAAAATCAACGTGAAAATGGAAACCAGTGGCAGGGCACGGCAGGGCAGAGGCTGACGAGGAGGATCCCCACACACACACGCACGCACACACACATCCCCATACATTCTCAAAAACAGGCAGAGCAGAAGGCCCCAGGAACATTGTTTGTTCCGCTCTCTTCCGCTCTTACTTCCCTTCATGCACTCCCACTCTCCCGTTCTCCCTCTCTCCCGCTCTCCCACTCTCCCGCTCTGCACTTGCTGTACTGTGCTCCCCTCTACCTCATACTCCCCACTTTAGCCGGCACTCGAGTGCACATCCGCTGGGCAGCAAAACATTGTTTCATTCCATAAACCGCGCCGACTACTTTAGCCCCAAGGTATATGGGAGACAAGGTGGGGCGTTGCAGTGCACGCACAGATCGTGAGAGAGATTGGCAATCGAGAGAGGGAGAGCGAGAGATCGGGATGGGGGATGGGCGTACCCTGCTATAAATCTACCTTGCTTTTGCACTTCATGCACTCGCTGCTGTGCTTCGCCGTCGATGGTGGTGTTGTTTCCGACCCCCACCCGCCGCTCTCACACTCGAAAGCTTTGTTCGGCAACGTGTTCCGGTTTTCCATTCATTCTTTTGCATTGGCCCTTCCTTACCCACCTCTCGCCTGGCGCTCTCTCTCACTCTTACTGCTCTCGTGGCTCTCGCTCTCCGCCTTCCCTCTTCCATGGGCTACATTGACGCGTGTGCTCCTGGGCCGCCGCACACATTTCCGGACTCTTCCCCCCCTCCGCCTGTGTTTCTGTGGGGTGGTTGTTGTTGCTTTGGTCGCTGGCTTTTTTCTTTTTTTTTTTGGCTAGTTTTCGATTTTATCGATTTTCATAAAGCAGCTTTTATGGGCAGCGGCACATTTCAGCGACAAAAGGCTTTGCCGCCTCCTGTTACTCCAATTAGAGAGAGAGCCAGAGCGCGGGCATGTGAAAGAGAGCACATACAATATTTGGCATTCCAATTTGTAGCTGCAGCTGCAGCTGGTGGTGGGGGTGGGGGTGGGGGTAAGGGGCTATTTGTGTTTGGCTTCCAAAAATTGGGCTTCAACTTTTACTCAATCAGGCTTTTCCAGGGTGTCCTTCCACATCCCTTTTTTTTAAGGGGTTTCTGCCATCCAACTAATCAACAAAGTAAAGCTTCAATGACCAATTCGCAAGCAGTGCAGAAAGCAGTGAGTAGCAAAGCCTGTATGGCACTCAATTGGCAAGCAGTTCAAGCGGCAAGCAGTGCTTAACTACGGTTTCTTTCGTGCACATAAAAACCACTCCACCGAATGGAGCAGTGCCCCCACACTGTCCCGTCCCCCCCTCCCCGTCCATCGGTCAGCAGGAACTTGAAGTAAACATCATACAGGCTTACTGCAGCTGCAGCAAGTCTGCAACCAGCGACCCAGTTCGTGCCCCAACTTATAGAAAGACGACCAAGCCCCAAAGTAGAATATATATCTCTTCCTTTTTGCTTTTTGCCGACTTAATGAAAACTTTTTAATTACAAGGATCAGGGACAATAAAAGTTTATGAGGCGGAAAGCTCTCTCCCTGCTCTGCGCTGCTGTAATTTTCTTGCAAATAAATACGAAAAGCGTGGCAAAAACTAATAAAACTAGTAGATCCAACTCTCAGCTGCTGGAACTATCATCCCATCCATGAGGAAAAACGCCCGCAGAAACAACAAGAAAATCGAGTTGAAGTTTCGCCTTTTAATGGTAAAGTAAAGTTTGGCTAATCCCTGCCAAAAAACAACAAAAATTGAGAGAAATATTTATAGAGAAAAAGTGGAAAAAAAGGGCCAATAAACACAGACAGTGGGATGTGCTGTGCGGACTGTTGCGCTGATATTGGATTTTGGCAGAAAGTTTTGGCTCAAACGGTGGGGGGTAGTGGTGGTGGGGAAGGGACAAAGAGAGGGTAGAGGGTGGAGGTGGAGAAATCTGGTTATGGCCTGTGACAGTGGCAACAAAATGGCAAATCGATTTCCAAATGCAATCTCTGCAAAGGATATTCAGGCTAATATTCAAATGAAATTTCCGTACATTGAACCCCAGAGAGAGAGAGAGAAAGAGATGTGTAGATACAGCCCTTGCCTCCCCCCCCGACAAGGTGTGAATGTGCCGCAGGAGGATGTGAAAATGGTTAGAGGCAGGATGAGAGAGGGAGAGCTGCCAAGAGATGCGGGGGGTTGGGGGCTCTATGAGGAAACCAGATAAATATAAACACGAAAGTGGAGCACACAAACCCCGGAGCCGCAATAGCTGTCATGGGAGGGATTTCCCAGGACCCAGAACCAGGAAGATGGAGTTGAAACCGATGTTAAGGAATTTCCTACCCTTTTCTGCTGCCTGGCTCTAGCTTTAGCTCTAGCTCTCTCTGGGTAATTCCCCCAACGCTTGAGGAACTTGACAAAACTTCACATTTTCCATGGGGTGGAGAAGGGGGAGAGGGAGAGATGAAAGTCATAGACAACCAGGCACTCGAAACCTTCAAATGAAATTAAAAAGTTAAGCCAGGAGTGTATGTTGGTGTGTGCAACCCTTAAATGCTCTCACTCCATCCCTAAGATGTGCTTCTGTAACTTCTTCTTCCGCATCTGTTAAGACATTAGAAGGCCACTCTGTAGCCAGCAACAGAAACTTAGTCGGAGATGCCCCTTGCCGGCGGCACTAACATTTATAATTAGCGACAACTGCTAGGAATTTTCAAGTTCTAAATGTGATGAATGTCTGTGGAAAAGTAGGAATTATTTTCTACTGAAAAACCCATACAAAAATCACTTAATGTTGAACTTTTGTGGCAAGTTTGTGACATTTAATAATAGCCAAATGATTATCGTGCCGAAAACCTTCATTCCTTTCCCACCCATTCATAAAGTTTATCGTTTATTCTCGGTTCTATTTCCAACACGTGAATTCCTCGTGACAAATACGTGATAAATTGGTTGTATATCATCGCCCCCAGAGAACCTGAGATGCCATCAGAGCCCCAGAGCCTCAGGGCCCCAGAGCCTCAGACATGCAATGCTCATCGTTCACATGTAGGTCTCTCTGGACGGGTCTTGAGTTATACGAATGCGCTTTGTGGGGGAGAAAGGGAGCTCCCCATGAGGGCCACACAGACGGAAAAAGAGGGGAGCTCCGCCGTAGTTTCCATGGGAATTTCGGGGAATATTATGTGTAGTTTTCTCTTCCCCTATAGTTCTGCCTTTGGTGGGGGGGATTTCTATCTTAAACGTACATCTTCTTTAGCCACAATCTATCTTACTGCCACCAGTCGGTGTCCCCCGCCCCCTAGAGAGGGAGGGGGAGGGGGAGCTTTGTCTGCTGTGTAATTTGTCGCAAAAAGAGTTGTGTTTTTTTTGCAGTAGCGCTTCAATTGACTGTGTCCGTCCGTCCAGCTCTTGTGAGTAAATGTCACGCTGTGATTGCTCCGATAGCGAAATCTCAGTCCCAGAAGTGCACTCCCGTCTCCCGTCTCCTGTCTCCCGTCTCCATTTGCTGCATTGCTGCGTTGCATGCTTTTGTCTCGAGTGGCATTGCAGTGGGGACTCCACTTGAGGCAGTTGAACACACAGCAGAAGCCGAAACTAAATCGAATTGAAGACAAGCGCCTCCCCCCTCCCCCCCCCCACTTCCTGGGGCTCATTGCACTTTCCTGATTATTGTTGTTCCAATTTGTTGGCCGTCCATTCAGGCAGGGGGGAGGGAGAGAGAGCCTCTCTGTAATCAATTTGACATAGATTTTCCAAATCAATATATGCTTTTGTCACGACCAGAGGCGGCTAATGGGGCGGGGCGGGGTGGGGCATTTTGTGTGCCATTTTCCTGGAGGGAAAAGCCTAAACAGATAATTGTTTGACAAACAACAAACAGGAAAAGCACCTCTTGCATTTCTCTCTCTCTCTCTCTCTCTTGTTTTTCCTATGGAATGAATCAATCTTCAATTTTGTGGCATTTCCTCAAATAGTTTCCGTAAATTGCAATTTATTTTGTGGCAAAGATAATTTTCGAATATTTTCAAGCAAATATTTTCCCACATTTGCATCGATTGTGTGGCAGGAGGCAGGAGGCAGCTGTACAACCAGAAAACTATTCACATTGCATGTCTGCCTCGTCCGCTTCTGCCTCGTGTCTGCCACTGTGCCACATAAATTGCTAAACATGCTGCACATTTGTTGTTGTTTATGGTTTATGGGGCTGGAGATTCGTTCCGGGGGCTGGGTGGGGCTCAAGGATCGACGGACAAGCGCGCTGAATAGTTGGTATTTTATTTTATTGGTAGTTTTTTTTCCCTGTTCTTGTTGCCGCCTTGTAACGGGGCTCTTGAGACCCCGCCGCCGACTGGGGGCGACAGCGGCCGCGTCTCTTTATCTGGACAGCACTTGAGATCTGTTTGGGTTCCATTTGTGTGGAGGAGTGTTTGCCCTGGAAATGATATGATGCCACGACAGGAAAACTGAACAAATGGTAATTGGAATGGCAGTATCTCTAGAGGAAATTGCGTTTTAAAGATTTCAAATTTTTGTGTTTTATTTGAAAAAAAAAAAATACTAAATTATATTCATCAGATATCATTGGTTCTTAAAGATTCGCAGTTTTGCTTTGAATTTCAATGCAAATTGATTTGATAAAAGCCTAACCAACACTATATTTGTTTAGTGTTGGGCAATATTCATTCGATCTAGAGGTGTTTCCTCCAGAAAGCCAATCCTGAGTCATGATTGGAAAAGTTGGAACAACTTTATAGAAACGGACGGACTGCTCTTTCTATCCGCTCTTTCAATCTTTCAATCTGTTTGCACTCGATGATATTTTCCCATCAAACATTCTCGACATTCAGTCGCCAAATATTTGTCTCCACAGCCGTGGCCATATGACGCCTGCTCTCTCTCTCTCTCTCTCTTTTGCTATCTGAAAGTACTCGATCTAAAATAAACACGAGAGGAGCGCAGAGAGACCCTTCAAAATTGTTATGTGGGGCGTACACTCTTCAAAGGTGGGGAGGGGGGGGGGGGGGGATGGTCGCGACTGAAGAGAGAGCAGCGGGCCAGCTGACGGAAACCGAAAGTGATGCATCTGCTCTAACGACTTAGGGTCATGCTGTCCCACTCCTCACTCTCTCCTCCTCTCCTTCACACACACACGCACACGCACACATCCTGAGACGTTCCCTGTGACTTTGTAAGCAGGTCACGTGAAGAAAAAAAAATAAAAAAGGCTGAAAGCCGAGGGGAGAGAGCCTGACAAAAGGAAGCTTGGCAGCGGCAGCGGCAGCGGCAGAGGCAGCGGCAGAGGGCAGCGGCAGCGTCAGAACGTAGGGGTCGCGGCCAGTAAATGCGATTGCTCTCTGCCTCTGCCTCTCCCTCTCCCCCTGCCCCTGCTCCTGCCACTGCTCCTCCTGCCTTTTGCATATAATTTGCTTGATTCCTTTTCTCTCTGCTTTGCTTTGCTTTGCTTTGTCTTGTGTCGTGTCTTGTTTTAACGCGTCGTCTTCTTTATTGTCGTTTGTCGCTCTGGCTCTGGCCTGGCAATTGTTTCAACGTGTTTGAAATACTTATCTTAAGCGTGGTCTAGGCACAAACAGAGCTCCAGGGTCTGGGTCGGTCGGCGTGCTCTCCCTTTGCATCTGTCGCTGCCTCTATCCCTGTCTCCCGCGCCCGCTCCCGCGCCCGCTCTCGTTCTCGCTCTATCTCTCTCGCTTTGATGCTCTCTTTGGGCGGTTTGTTTTGGTTTATGCTTCGTCTGCTGATGTCGCTAACGCATACATACATACATACGTACATACATACATATCCAAATGAAGTTGCTGCTGGCTCTCGCTCTCTGTCTCTCTCTCACACACATTCACACATAAAAATCAATATTTGCGCCGCGTCGCCGTCAGCGTCATTTGCCCCTTGATTTTGTTGTTGCTATTATTATTACATTTTATTGCTCCTCTTTTGGCTTCTATTTGCTCTCTTTGTTTGCGCTTTAAGCGGTCTATCCCTCCGTGTGTCCATTTGTCCGTTAGTCAGTCCATCAGTCAGTCAGACAGACAGCAGCGTCAGCTGATAAGCGACAGAGGAGAGCCCCTCTGATGCGGATGTGAAAATGTGCCTGGGCTGTGGGCAGGGGAAGGGGTGGAGGCCTCTCTACCAAGAGTCATAAATGTTCATATGCGAGTATTTTATCTAAATATGGAGATAATCGTACAGCGGGGGGCCACTCGGGGAAGTTCTGGCTACTAGAATCAGCCATTGCCATGCAGCCCCACAGTGGAGACCCAATGAAAGATCGAGGCTGGGTCTTTGCCCCAAACAAGAGCTAAAAAGCCCCAAGAGAGTGGCTAACACATCGCCAGAAAATATCCACTAAAATCGATTGCCTGGAAATTGATCCAGAAATCTAGAAAGCAGAAGTTTCCCAATTCCAAAGCCGCATATTTTATGGTGGAAACTGTTCAGTTTTGTATCCCACACTAAACCACGTAATGTCCATATCCGTATCCACTAATTGCATTTTCAAGTAGTTCTCTCTGTAAGCGAAATCATATAATTGACAAATTTGTCGCTTTGTCTCTTTATCTCGTTGCAGGTGACGGCGATAACCAGCTCTAAACGAATCAAAGGTGAGAGGGAGGACACACACACACACACACACACACACACACACACATACACAGACAAGCACAAATGAAAATGGGGACTAATGGAAATGGAAATGGAAATGGGAATATTTCCCAATTTCAGTTTTGCGTTTTTTCCTTCTTTTTTTTTGTTTGGACTGGGTTTTTTCTCTTTTTTTTTTGGGAATCCTCTTTGATACTGCCAACTTTTTGTCATATGTCGCCGGGGTGTGTGTCCGCTGCAGGCGTTTTTGAACTTGCTCCACTTTTGGGTAGAAAGGGTCCTGTGGGGGGCGGCGGGGGGTGGAGCAGGGCCAGAGGTAGGTGGCATCTGCTGGTGTCCGTTAGCCTTTATCTTTTTGCATTCATCGTTGCGTCTCTTTCTCTGCCAAAAAAAAAAGTCTATTTCTTCGTTTCTCGTTCTTTGTCTTGTTTCCTTTTCTTCCCTCCACCCCCTGCCGGCAGCAATCTATGCCCAGTGTTCCCCTCTTCTTCCTTCTCTCAGGAGATATCTTTTGCTTCCCTCTCTCTCCCCCCTCTGTCTCCTCTTCACAGCCATCGCTTGCACTCAAAGATAAAACGCGAAAATGTGCTGCTTGTTCTTTCTTTCTTTTTTTTTTTGTTCGTCCAACATCTGTGCTCAATTCCAACAAAAAATAAACCTGCCCACAGCACAAGAGATGCTGGGCGGCGGGAGGGGGGGGGTCGGGGGGAGAGTGGCCCCAGGAGAGGGACAGCAGCAACAGCGGTAGCAGCGGCAGCGGCGGCAGCAGCCGTTTGCTCCAGTTCTTGAAGTGGAGTCCAAAACGAGTTTTTCGGCACTTGCCCAATCGCCGTCCCAAGCCCCTCTGCCCCCCTCTGCCCCCCTCGCTCCCCCCTCGGCCCCTCTCACTCCGTCGAGAGTTGAGTTAGGTCCAGTTTCTAAAACGCGCAAAAGTTGGTTGTGCTTTTTGGGCCAGAAAATGAAAACCGTAGGCCTACTATTGAGGTCTTGGAGCCACCCGAGAGTCCAAAGTATTAGCCGCTTTGCATGATAACTTTTGACATGTTGCTAAATGGTTGTAAAAAGATTCAAAACTACGTCCAATGGAAGAATGGAAACCGCGAAACAGGAAACATTAAGAAAATCACAGACCCCGAATCGATCAACAGATCAGATATTGAGTTTTTATTGTACAAAAATCACTGGAAATCACTGAGAAGTACCTAATCTCCAGGTTTTTAACTAAAAATCACTTGAAATATGGAATATTTGTTTACAAATAAATGTTGTATAGTTTTTAGTTTGATTTATACGAAATATAGACTCAATCTTCCTAGGTTTTCCTTTGTAAAATTCCCAACTGAGAAAGTAGGGGCTGTGTTCTTTGAAAGAAAACCAATTGCTGGGTCCTTTTTCCATCATCTAGGGGTTGCCTTCCTATAGCCTTGCCTTCAAACCAATTGGAATGGTTAAAAACCCCCGCCGTTGTCTTCTCCCCCGCCTGATGGTCTGCCATTTATGGACAATCCTTCAACTAATAGAAACAGACACACTCTTTATTGCCCAATCCTCGAAAATCCACTTTGTTGGGTCTTGGACGCTGACGGATTTCTCTGAGATGAATTGAATTACCATGCCAAGTCCGGCTTTGCGGGGAAGGAGGAGGAAGGAGGAAGGGGGGCAAAGCCAAGCCAGTGATGCATTGCCAGAGGCCAAGACGCGCGAGCCGCATCGATGCATTCCTCTCTCGCGCTCAACTCTTTTGTTGTCTCATGTCGGAACGTGTTGGAATCACCTGGTGCCCCCTGCTGCCCCTGCCAGGAGGAGGGAGTGCGAGTGGGGAGTGGATGACACACACGCGACATGTTGTGAAGGTGTGGATGTGGGCTGTGGGGGCCAGTGGAGAGGCAACCCTTCAATGCCGCCTAGACCAAACCCTCGGCACGTCTGGCGTCTCCGATTTCATGACTAATTACACGGGAACGAACGAACGAACGAACGAACGAACGAACGCATGGGGCATGAGCCATGAGGCATTAGGCATGAGGCATGCGGCATGAGGCGCAAGGGCCAAGAGCGCCGACGGGTAAGGCGAGAAGGTTAAGCGGCTGTTCCCATGAAATTATGGGGATTATATTTTTTGTTTTTGTTTTTCTTTTTGTTCCTCTCAGTACGGGCTTCACTGTACTGTACCAGTGGGGCGTGGCAGGCAGCCAATTTCTCGTTGTTTTTTTCTGCCTTTTTGGCCATTAATGAAGTAATGGAGCTGCCACTGCCACTGCTGCTGGTGCTGCTGGCTCCCCTCCAGGGGGAAGCCCCCAGAATGCTGCTGCTGGCAGGAGTTGGCGGGGGAGGGGGGAGCATCGTTATTTGGTTTCATGCATAAAATAGCTGCACATAAGTGCAACGTAACGGCTGCAAGCTGCAGCATGAAATGTTGATGAAAATTTAATGAAATTGCAGCGGCAGCAACGGCAGCGGCAGCGGCAGCGGCACAGAGAGAGGATCGGTCCGGTCCGGCATGGCATGGCATGGCATCGCATCGCATCGCATCGCATCTTCCTCGTTTGACCTCGTTGTGGGATAAAATGCAATTTTGCGCTGCTAGTTTTTTGAGTGGCACGAGCACACACACACACACACACACACACAGACACACACCTATACCCATACCTATAGCCATGTGGCACACAGTCTTTCATTTTAATAGGTGTAAAAGCCTTAAGTTTATAAAATTATGCTCCTCGGGGGAAAAACTGTGGCATGAGCACTGAGATAAAAAAGTAGCAGATATTTCGGGACAGGATGCCACAAAGAGAGGTGGGAGAGGACCTTCCGAAAGATGGGATAAAGGTTTAGCCGGATTAGGGACTGCAACTGGAAGGCTAAAGAGCCGGAAGAACCACTAGCCTTCTCTCTCTCCCAGTGAGAGGCCTCTTTCAATAGTGTGAAAAAGTCTGATATCCTGATGTTGCGGCACGTGTTCCGCGACTCTCAAGGTTTCGTCTGTAGGAGAGCTTTTATTTCCATGAAATTGTTCAAAATTTGAATGGGGGAATTTCTTGCAGTGCACAAATCGGTTGCCCTGTTGCAAGCTGTTGCATAAATCAACTTCACCTGCACCCGTGTGTCCTCTCCTGGGCTGCCGTGTGCGTCTGTTTGTGTTTCAGATAACTGCAGAGCTAAGCGCCCCGCTTGAAACTATGTCAAGCCTGCCCCAGACGCCTCTTGCCACACCCGCCACACCCGCACATACGCCAGCATATTCGTGCCCCAGCGGAGGAGGTGGAGACTCTCTCTGATGCTGCCGCTGCAACAGCCATCATGTATGCTCTATAAAATATTTGTTTAAACTTGCACTCTGGCCGCACGCCCACCCTGCCGCCCCTCGCTTGTGGTGTTGATAAGCACACTTTGGCTGGCTGCCACTTGAGGCAACGCAACGGGTAATCACAACTTAAATGAGTAGTTTAATTTCGTTCAAGTGCAGCGGCAGCCGAGAGGGGGGCGGGGGGCAGGGGCAGGGGCAGAGACATCATCTGAGAAGCTAAACATAGACGATAGATACAGGCTGTGGCAAGTTGCATTCCCGGATTGCTGCTGCTGCTGCGGCTGCGGCTGCACGGAATCATTGTTTATTGTTTTCCCTTAAATTGTTGTTTATGTCTGCACTCGGGACCGAGGAGATGCAACTGCAACATCATCATCATCAGAGAGAGCTCTCTCTGCTGCCTCGTCAAGAACCTGACAATTTGTACCCGTCTCGAGCCTCTGCGTTGGGTGTTGGGGCAAGAGTTGTGGCAGGCAGCAGCAACTGCAATAAAAGTGCTAAAAAGTTTCATGCCCCCAGACTGCATCCTGTCATAGGGTCCTGCCGCATGCCGCATGCCGCCTGCCGCCTGCCGCCTCATCATACAATTTTTTAATCTTTTAAAACTGAGCTGCATTGTTTTTGTTTGCCCCTGCCACTGGCTGCTGCATTTCAAGTTGTCAAGCCAGAAGGAGAAAAGGGGAAAAAGAGAAAAAGAGACTGCCACACAGTCCACCCCTAAGACCCGGGCTCTCAATCCCTGTCCTTGCATATTCCTCGGGCCTAATGAGAGCATTATAACTTTGTGGCAAACTTTGTTGTGGCCTCCATCCCTCCCCATCCCCGCCCCCACTCTCTCTCTCTCCCTCTCTCTGCTGAAAACTAAGAACTAAAAGCGGCAGCTACAGTTGCTAATGAGAGAAAGAGTTTCAAAGCCAGACTTGTGTCTGTATAAAACATGCGAGAGAGGCTACGTACAGTCAATGCTCTCAAGTGCGGCCACAGTCGGGGAATGTAGATATAATTAGAGAACTGGAGGATCTGCAAACGTTGCTATTGTCCAACGATCCCCACAAAATGGTAGCAATGGGAAGAGCCAGCGTGAAGAGATGAACAATTCTTCTACAATAGAACTCTGAGCATTGGGGGGACTGGTGGACAGTGCTTTTATCTAGCGAACCACAAAAAATACCACCGATTGGACAAGTATTTCCAGCCGTAATGAAGAAATCCAGAATTTTATATAGGACTTTTTAGAAGGAAAAACTCTTAAGTCGGGTTTTTAGAAACCTTTTGAAGCTACCTTTAAAAGAATTTTGAGGATATATGGTTTGGGATGCCTGTAGCATAGGAGGAGGCAGGATCCTTTAGGATATTTGGTGTATTTCGAAAGACTTTTGTGGCATTCTCGATGGGTATTTTACAGTCGAATTATCGTCGAAGGCTTTTGCCACCCACTTGTTTTCTTTTGCCCCTTTTCTCTTGTCCCTTTTGCCTGCTTTCTTGCTGTTCTTCTTTCTTTCTCGTCTTCTGGTGGGCTATCTCTCGTTTCATTCATAATTTCTGTCGCATATGCAAATGCGGGGGTTGTTGTTGCTCTTGGAGTGTTGCAGGATGTGCCCACCCCCCACCACCCCCCCTCCACCCTTATGTGCTCATACCTGTGTGGTGGGTGGCGGGTGGTGGGTGGTTTCTGGTGGGTGGGTGGGT